CATTCAGGTCGTTGAAGACGACGAGTTGTTCAAAACGTCGACCTAATAAAGCGGTTTCACCATAACAAACCTGTACGGCAAAACAGTGTAAAAACATTATGTGACATGCCCAGGTTTCAAGAAGACCGAACATGGAAACTATCGATTTGCTCTTGGTCAACTTGGTGTCATGCTTCGACGATCGCTTTTTCCAACTACTTGACGCCTCGCAATTGCTTGTTTTGAGCGTAAATCTTCCGCACCATGGAACCCCATACATTTTCCATCGGATTGAAATCGGGGCTATTCGCCGGCCAAGGTAGAACTGCTATCCGATTCGGAGAGAACCAAGCTTGCGTGCTTCTGCTGTGAATTGGGGCGCTATCTTGCACAAGAACAACATTCCCGTGTCGATTCTGACGCCAAGAAGGGAGAGTTGCACGGCGTATAACAGTCAGATAAAAGGACGAGTCCATCTTTTTTGGTACAAAACTTAATCGGATACGCCTACTTGATGAAATCATCGCCCAAACCATGATTCCTCTTCTCTCGAGTTTCCGTCTAGAAAACATTTTCCTTCCTCAGGTCAAGCCAATAAAATCGGTTCCCGTCTGAACATTCACAATTGAACTTTCTTCATCGGAAAAAACGAAACAAAAAACAGAAACCATCAGGAGAAGGAAGGTCAAATGTCAGCACATGAAGAACACCTTATTTCGCTCGATTCACCTTCACCTTTTGACCGCAAGCGACCGGATTTTCTCGATGTCTTTTTGTCACGTGCATGCATTCTCCTCTTGATGATGAACTTGGACTTTCCGATCACCTTCCAAACAGTGTTTTTCGAGACGCTGAAGTTCAGAGACGATCGGATTCCCATACAGGACTAGGTGGAGTTCGACGCTTTCCTCAAAATACGGCACTTGTCTCCGTCAGACAACAGCGAGGGACGTCCAGCACTTCTTCTGGCTCCACATGCTACAGGATCATTGATCAAATTGTCCACAACTGCATGACATCGACCCAAAACTCGTGCGACTCTCGTTTCGGCTGTCCTTGCTCCTTTTCGCTAGGATTTGACCCTCCTCGAATTTCCAAAGCAACTTACTTCTTTCCATTGCCTGAAAATGAAGAACGTTACACAGACAAAGCAATTTCGCTGGTTGAACTAAAAAACGACACGAATAGTGACGTGGCTGTATCATATAGAAACGCTGAAAAGCACACTTTAGTGGAAATTGACGAAGAAAAATCTTTGTGTTCTCGAGATGAAAATTGGTGATAATGTGCGAATGGCAAATCAGATTTGACGCATTTTTTACTGCGGTACTTTCTCAGAAATATCGTATACTGTGAGTTTT